AGGGAACGTGCCATGACCAGGCAGACAAGCCAGTGGCGCCATTGATTGAGGGAGGGGGTAAACAAAATCACGTGGGCGCGTTTATGGTGTAAAAATAGGCACGAGGTGCGCAAAGAGAAGGCTAACTTGCAGGCCGTATAAAGAATGCGGCGTTATTCAATTTGAACCACTGTTCACGCAGCTCTGGTAACAATTGTTTTGGAGCTCGCTGAAACAAAGCTGTATTTCGGGTGATTTCAGGCTTAGCGCTACTACTGCGTCAGCCAAGATAATTGCGCGAATGCTGAGTCTGGCTGAGCAGCATCCTGGAAAGGCCGTTCTGCACACGCGCTCACTATAAGTCCGCTTTAGCCCCCAGCTGACAGTGCGATGGAAGCTACGCTGTCGCCGGCCCACCTGTCTAACTTTCGTCCCCTGAACCCACTGTCGGTGCTTGAATATGGGCGGTAGCGTGATCACGTCGGGAAAGACAGACGTGTCACTGGCCCAGAAGAGCCCGTATAACTTACACTCTACTGTCAGCTAGGCGATGAAGGGAGTGTACGTCCACTCGGAGGTGAGAACCGCGCGTTCCGCAGCAGTCCTTTGTGCCACACGTAATTGCGAGTGCCGGATTCATTTGGCGGTGGAGGGGAAAGGGGGGGGGGGGTGTGAATCCCGGAGAAAGGGCGGAATTAGCTAAATGAATTCGGCCTGTTCTCGGCTCCCCGCTCGTTATCTGTCGCCACGGTCGCTTGTTGTCGACACGCCCGCGCCCTCTGTGTGTTTTAGGAGAGGGACTCAAGGCTTAGCTGCGTGGATCGCGGACTCGTCTGTTGGTGTTCTCGTTTTCCCACGACGCGGGCACCGTGTACGGGCCATGTGTCCGCCCACAAACTGTTCTCACCCGTTCGTCGAGGGTACGCTAACAGGAAACAAATGCGTCGCGAAGTCTTCGCGGCTTAATGCAATGAATGACACTCACTGTCTGGATGTACCTGGATTGCTTGTCGTACGCTCATTTAATATGTTCTTAATGTATCCTCTCTAGTGTTTTTTAATATTATTTTGCGAGCTGAAGTTGCTATTAAATAGACGGCGAAAGGGCCATAAAAATTAACTACATGTAGCATGCTTTTAATAACAGCCGCTGGATAGACGAAAAAGTAGAATGGTGTATTTTTCCAGTGGTGTACGTCTGGCCGCGATAGACGGAGGAGTGTGCAATTCGCGGTTCTAGCTTCATCTTTTTTTTTTTTTTTTGCTTTATAGCAAAAATACTTAGTTCATATCTGTAATTCGGAAAGGTGCCTTGAATTTGGCGAGTATAACGCACTCAATAACACGGGCAGGTTTAACAGCAGTGAAGTGTGTCCAAGGTCACTTGACTGCAGTTAAAGGGCAACTCCGCTCAATTCCAGAAAAATTGGGATTACTTGTGATTCCACTTCCCAAAGCACTGATGAACAACTTGACGTCTTTGGATTCGCGAAATGTGAAATATTTTTTGTGTAATCGTATTTTCAACATTAGCAGCAACCGAAACCGAAACTTTGAATGCGACAGGCAACATTGATCTCGTGTCGTCAGAGGCATGTGCACGTTATGACGAACCACGTGGTTCGAGCCGTCACGTGAATCTCTCCACGATCGCGGACGGGCGGGCGGGCGAGCGGAGAGCAAGCGCCAGTGTCGTCTGCTCCGCACTTTTCGCCAACCTAGCTCTCTACAGCATCCAACGACGTCTTCACCACCGGAAACGAAGCTTGCGCTTCTTTACAGAAAAGGCAAGTTTTTTCAAGCGTATGTTTCGTAGGCATTTCAGAAGCTGAAATAGAGTAAACAATACATGTATATGTACTACGTAGGAGCGTGCCACGGCCAATGCCCGCTAGAACAAAAGAACTGTAGTAAAATCAACAGTGTGGTGCATTCGTTTGTCCTCACGAAGTTGATACATTAGAGCTTAGTTACAACCATCACACATCCCACGGAGCTTTGCTGTGCGAGGTGACGTGCCACATATTCGTCCTTCCGTGTCTTCGGTCACCAGCTCGCCCGTGCCCTAACTCTTCTTTCAGTTATCGTTTATGTGCCGTCGAAGGTTTGGCATCACCAGACATTTCGTCAGGAAGGGTTTTCAGCGCTGGTGGAAGCTGTGTACTCGCGCTCTAATTTTTCCGATATGCCACAAAATGTTGTCCCGGAACATAGGTCCGCTTGCGTATCCCCAGTTGGCGGGTTAGAATCCCGACCGAGATGCTCGTAATTTTACGCTTGCTTATTACCGAGAAGGCGCCGTGTAACCGAGATATCGGTTGCCCGTCAAAAGATTGCGAAGTGGTCCAAATTAATAATCAGACCTCCGTTGGGACGTGCTAGGTACCCCTCTTTGGGTTGGCACGTAAACCCCCAAATTTGCGCATCTTTTCCCGAAAATGGCGAAGTTTTCTCGCCGCTTGTTTCTACAGGCGCTAGACATTTACTCGTACACACGGAAACGCCCGGCGCGTAGTGCGGCCAAGGCGGTGTGCGTTTGACCGGTTTGACCGCACATATTTCCAAATTTAGTAGCCCAATTGTGCACCTTTATAGAGCTGTACGACAGACTACACGTTTGTTGTCAATAGCAAAAGTGTCCGCGAAAATGATCAATGCTGCGATAATTACGCTTCAGTGCACATTTGTTTGTTTTCAGAGTGTAGCTAATATTTGCAAGCACGTTTTTTTTTTGTTTTGTTCTTTGTTAGAGGGTAACAGCAAATTAGTGACATGAGCTTAAGCAATCACATGTAGCCACCTATGCAAATGTCAAGGACCAAAAAAGAGGGTGCAATTATTGTTTCATTTTTTATTGATACCGTAGCTTGGTAAGAACAATCGCATACACACAATTCCCGCAAAACCAGCACAACAAAGTAATACACATGTGTAATTTACACAACTCAATTAAAATAACTCCTACTAAACATTCTTGTTTACAACACTTTGCCAGAGCTAATGCAACCCTCAGAGAAAAATAAATGTAACTGATCATACATAATCAAATGTTTCATTGATCCAAATGCTTTATTTTCAGTATCTATGTCCGACGACGACAGCCTGCCGCTCGGAGCAGACTTGGGAGGTCTGCAGCAAGGAGCTATATATGTGCCTGATCCGTACAACTTTGATCCCCCATTGCCAGGAAGGGAACGACGTGATAGCCAGCAACAGGAAAGCCAGGAGTCCCAAGTCCAGTACGAACTACATTATGCAGATAAGAACTATTTGTGCAACTTGCATTTTCTGGGGTGACCAGAACTATAGAAAGTACTATCGCGGACAATATGAGCTGAAACAGCGCTCCGGCCTGTGCACGGTACTACCTGCGCCGCCTGTCGCATCACTTTCTCAACACGGCGCACCCTGAGGCCGAGATAAATTATCACTTGCGCTCACTGCGCCACTGCGCTCTTCCGGCCGTCTGCTAGCCCAATGTTCACGTTTTCAGCTAACATGCATTTCAGTGGATTTCAAAAAAGCGCCGAAGTGGAAAATGCGCTGTCACGCTCTTATCTCCTCGAGGAGCGCTGCCTGACGAAGCTGCCTTGGCCTTTAAAAGGAGCCGATCTGAATATCATCGAAAACATATGAAGGCGCATCAAGGTAGCCATGTCACGGCGTCCCCTCCACCGCGCCACTGCCTGCAAATTGTGGAAAGCAATGGGAGGTGAATGGGAGTGGCTTCGGGGCTGAGCCAGACTTCGTGGCTGCGCTTTGATTTCTTACCAGACAGGATGAGAGCCGTGGTGCGGGTCAGGGGAGAGTGACGCAGTATTAAATTATTTTGCAAGTTTTATTGCGCCTCACGACCCCCTGAACTGGACTTCTGCCGATTGGAACAAAACTTGATGCTACGGTTGCGACACACTGTTCGACGCCGTGAACCACGCATACTTCCCATGAGCGATGCCTCCTTCATGCCGATCTTCTTGTATAGTGCAGTTGAGCTTCCACGCTGACTATTAATCTTTTGTGTCTGACAATGTCCTCTGCAAATATTGTTTTAGGTCAAGTTTAAATCTCCTTCTCTTGACAAATATATCACTGTTTGTCCCACCTTATTAAGACTAGGAATTCGTAAACAAAAAACTGGCGTCTTGTCAGCAACTTGTTTTGCTTGAAACAAACACGTGAGCCCAGTAATCAAGAAATAATATTTTTGAACCTTTTTATACTAATCAAGGTTACAAAACCTTTTCAGTAACATGTATGCTAACCGTTTTTTGAACATCTGTGATCAGTGAAACAGAAAGAAAAAATAATTGGAGTTGGACTAAATCCGGCATACAGATTTTGGCCTATATTTTACGATGTCCCACTTTGTGCATGCACCTATAATCAAACAAAAACAACCTGCAACGTATTTTGATATGACTTTCAAAAACGATATCGCAGTTGAAATTTAAGACACTTCAATATTTTTCCTTCATCAGTCAGCGTTTTTTCTACGGGATTTTGCGCGATAGAGTAAAGTAAATCAATACCAAAAGGGGAATGACAAGTGTAATCTTTTGTTCCCCCCGCCGCCCTCCTACACATGCCCGCTGTCGCACCCACCGTCTCGCTTGCAGACAGCCGGAAGAGCGCAGTGGCGCAGCGAGCGCAAGTGAGAAAATATCTCGTACTCAGGGTGCGGCATGTGTGCGGAGCAAGGCGACAGGCGGCGCAGGTAGTACCGTGCGCCGGCCGGAGCGCTGTTTCAGCTCATATTGTCCGCGATAGTACAAGCATAGCACCAAGGGAGTCCAGGCTGGCAGGAAGAATGTGAAGACCTAACCTCTCAGTGGACCTCAGAACGGCGTGCTGATACTTCATTAGGAAACCTACCTTCTTCAGGGTTAGGTCTCCTGAAGAAGGCAGGTCTCCTAGTGAAACGTTGGCACGCCACTCACATCTGCCTAAAGCTCCCTTTTCACATAAGCATAGAAGATAATTTTTCAACTGAAATGTATCCTCTTTCAGATACACATGTGGAAATTGCCCCCAGGAGGTCGGGCAATGCTGCAGGGACATGCCAAAAATCACACAAACAAACTTGGGAAGGTGTGTCACAGAAAATGAACTTTTTCTGCTCGTATGTCTGGATGTGCGACTGCTGAACATAGCGTACGACCAGCTGAAATTTTTTCGCCCAACATATTTGGAGCCAGCAGCTCGGGATCGGAACAAGACCAGAACTTTTATAGCATATCAAATATAAATGCACCACACTGTAAGACAGTCTGTAAATCCCGCTGAGTGTATTTGCGACTCCAACAAAATCTATCGACGCTGCGTAGCGGCACCGCCGGGAAGCTCAAGAGAAGAGGTCATTTTGACTCTGTCTTCTGCTATCGCAGCTTGGTTCTTGTAGGCAGTATAGAAACAAACACTGTTTCCAGTGATTATTTTTATGCTTCTGCCATGTCATTCCTATGCATTGATTAGAAGGTTTCTACTGTCGAAAAATCGTTTTGCTTTCTTATGTAACACAGATGTTATGCTGCAATGCAAGAAATTTATGGTGGTCAGCGTGTTGAACGATGAAAGCGACCTCCTTTTGTCCGCCATTTTGCCTGACCAGCACACCCCCTAGACTAAGCTGGAGTCGCGAATATTGCAAACGTTAGTTGTGCTCATGGTACCTTGGATCGAAGAAGGCACATAGCCAGGTGTTTGTTTTGGGGGAGGGGGGAATATTGAATTACCTAAATTGTTGCGTCTACGTCTAGGTTGAGCCGAAGAAGACAATGAATAAGAATGAACGAACCGAGCTCCGAATGGGAACAGCTTGCCTTCTGTTAAACTTGCATAGACAGTCCCTATACATAACAATTGTCACAATCGACAGCTTCAACTCGATTATAAAGGTTTATTCACCCGTCTTTCCTACCATACCGAGGCGAGCCTGCGATTTCATGGAGGAATGGTACGCCAGTACACGATCCCTTCCAATGGGTCGACAATAGATAATGGCAGAACTGCCATTCTATTTAGCTCACTTGAAGTTGAGAGTCAGCGGACCTACTGCAAACTGCCGGAAGATTCTGCCTTGTCCACTGCTACCACTCATATAAGTGCAAGTACTGCAGGAGCTACCTCCAAATCGCGCAGACCTGCATCGCCCATTTCCAGAGTCTATGATGCAGTGGCAAGAGAGTTACAAAAATTCTTGACAGTAAAACATTGGAAAGATTTATTTTTCGTTGCACACGGGGATGACCGGCCAAAACAGTACAAGAGTGTGTCACGTTCTCCGGGGCCTTGCGATAAACTGCTGGTTTGGGACAATAACAGATGAAATAGTCTGCAATCGACTTGTCAATAAGACAATTCATGCCGAAGTGCGAAACCGCCCACTACTAGAGCTTGAGCTACCACTCGAATCAGCTCTTGCCATCACCTCAAAAGTTCAGCGGGCGATGAAGGAGGCCAAAGTTTTTACCAAAGATGCGGGACTCAGTTTTCAAGTGGCAAAGATTCAAGCCTAAAAGAAACCAATAGTTAGGGGCAAAACACCCAATCAAAGGTCGTCCAGCATTTACTGCAGATCTGGTTCAATGTGCCACATGGCAGACTACCCTAAACGTCCTGCAAGGAATCAAGCATGCAGAAAAGGAAAGATTGGACATTTTGCCTTTGTTTGCAAGCAAACAGTTTTGACAGGATCACAAGTACCAAGCATAGAACAAACTGAAGTATAGCAACTCGGATATTAGCGAACTGTACCACATGCAGGATACCTGCGTTCCTTTTTATCAAACTCCTAGTAGACACAAGACCCTCGGTTTCAATCCTTCTGGAAAGCGTCTACAGAAGATGCGTCCATTCTTGTAAGTTGCAACCTACAAGTACTGCATTCATTGGCTACTCCGTAAGAAAACATTGCTATTCCAAACATTTTGGAAAAAGCCAGCTCACCAGTACAGTTGGCGCAAAGTAATGGCGATTGCACATTCCACGTCGTCCGAACAAGACAGCCGTAATGGGACTATAAATGCTTTACAAGGGTTGGAAATTCAACTGGACTTTTCATCTCCTGCGGATGACAGGTGACTATCATTTCGGCAAACGACCTTCCAGAGGCCGTCAAAGGTTTCCTCCAGCTGTTCTCAGGTATGGGCCACGCCATTGGATATGTTCACAAGGTGAAGACGAAGTGTCCATCAGTCTGGTGCAACAGAATCTATGAAGGATAACTTTTGCAGTGCGTGACAAAGTTCCTGTAGAGCCGGCAAAGTTGGAGCACTCCTGAGTGATCGAGCGCAATAATGCATCACAGACCACTTCCGTAAACCAAACACCTCTGTTGTTCTCTATTCACGACCTCTTCGGTGTCCAAACGAGCTCCTTCACCAGCTTTCTGGCACCCACATCTTCTACCAGTGGGACCTCTCGTCAGCGTACCACTAGCTGAACCTGATAGAGGAGAGCGGGGACCTCATTGCGTTTGTGACTCATGAAAGTCTCTTCCTGTTCACAGTATGTTTTGGGCTGGCTTCCGCTGCTCCGGCTTTTCAAAATATGAAGAACTGTATTCTTTGGAACACAACAGGCATCATTGTCAATCTATCCAGGATGATGTGCTCAACTTCAGTTGCACAACTGAAGACCATGATGCCCGCCTAAGACAAGGCTTACCCCGCCTACAAGACGCAGGTTGGAAACCGAACAAAAACAAATGCATTTTTCAGTGCAGCAACTTCAATTTCTTGGACACAAGTTGACACCTCAGGGAATTAAGCCATGCCATGATAATGTTCAAGCCACCATGCAAGCTTCTACCCAAAGAGACATGACATCATAACTGGTCTTTGCTTGACCTGCTTACATACCGTTTCAAATTCATACCTAACTTTGCAACCATCGTGAGGCCCTTGCATGTGCATCTGCGGAAAGATGTCCCCTTATAATGGCAAAAAGCACAAGAGGTGGCATTTGCATCAGTAAAAACCCGATTCGAAACTGTTCCATATAGTTTTCGACGTGACACTGCCTGCTATCGTCACAGGTTGGAGAGAAATTTATTTTTCAGTTTTTTTTTTTAATTCTCCAATTAGAATTCTACAATCGTCAGAAAAGATTCATCGGATTATGGATTAGGCACAGTGCTACAGCAAGACATCCAGATGGAATTCGCACTATCCTGTTCACATCGCGATTGCTTTCCAGCGCCCAGTGCAACCGCTCTGCAGAGTTAGAGGAATAGGCGTGCCTCTGGGCCTGCGAGAAGCATCATGTTTTCCTTTTCGGTCCCTATTTCATGCTCAGGATGGACCACCAGGCTCTGGTTACACTACTCTGTATTTAGGGAAACGGTCGACAACCGATAACAATTGCCGGGTGGCCATGCGTCTCCTCAAGATCACCAAAAGGGCAATGAGAATGTTGTGGCAGTCGAGCTTTCTCGTCTTCCTGCATTTAATTCCTCAGATTGCACAAAGTCATACGTCGAAAAAAGAAAATTCACTTGCCGTGTGTGCAGTCTCTGCTGAATTGACCAAGAAGAGGTACAGAAAGAGAAAGAACAAGACCCCGATTTACCTCGGGTGATAGTGTGTCAACATGGGTTGGGGTCTCAAATACCTATGGGAATCAGCACTGTCTCCCACTACAAGATACGAAAAGAACTTTCCTCTGTATATGGCTTACTGCTATACGCAAAAGTGCTGGTTCCTTCTGCTTCACTCAGACGAATAGTGTGAACCAAAATACAACTATGTGAATGCTTCTGTGGTGGCCCAGAATGGACAGCGAAGCCAATACTTGTCCAAATACTGTCACGCATGTCAGACAACCGACAAGTAAGCAGCGAAAGAAGGATCACCTCTACAACCAGTGCTTTTTCCAATAGGCGCATGGAAACAGCTTGGAACAGACACTGTGGAACTATTCTACAAACTTCTCTCACCATTACCGTTTTGCAACAAACTAGTTCAGTAAGTAGCCTGGGGTTGCTTTCTGTAGTAGAGTTACAGCAGAGATTGTCTGCGACTTCCTAATAACAATATTCAGCTGAGAGGGACATCCAAACATTACTGCCTTGGACCATGGCTTACAGGTCAGGTCCCGCACAACCTGAGAGTTCCTCAGGTCGAGGGACTTCTCATCATCAGTCTGCAATTCGCAGTCCACAGGCGAATGAACTAGTTAAAAGATTTAATTGAATTTTAAAATTGTCTGTCCAGTCAATCACTCAAGAACGAGGAAACACCCATACAGGCACTAGTGAATTTCTTCTCAATAAAAGCACACCAGAAGCAGCGGCAAAGGTTTTCACGCATGAAATTTCTAGAAATGTCTAGATATCATGGGCTTTCCAGGTTTCGAAAAGCCTTTTCCTATAGAGATGCGGCAAAAGGGTCCCCAAGTTCACAGTAAAAGTGTAGCAGATGAAGTCTTTCTAAGACTCTTACCAATTCTTCTGTTACTTTCTCAGACGGTACAGGTACACGGCATACAGCCAGTTCGTCTGGTGGATTTGGGGACGACTGGGCAGGTTTCGCCGCGTCAGGCTCCCGTGCTGTGTGGTGGCCAGGATAAGAAAAGAATTCCTATCGACCACATACACGGGCTTCCACTATGCTTGATCGAACCGGGTCCTGTGGGCCAACACCGCTGCTTCCTTGTCTGGCCTTTGTGCAACGCTGCACAGAGGTGGTCGACGAGGACGTGGCCCGTTCGCAGCCACAGCCTGCTGGTAGGCCCGGGAAGCCTTGGCCAACTCCAGGCAGGAATTGAGGAACCTCTGGACGTAGTCTGAGTAAGAAAGTGTGATAGTCAAGCTGTAGCCAATGTCTGAATAAAAGTGTTTGTAGTCACCGTACGACGCAGTCTCCATGATGGGGCTGAGGACCCATTCGCCTTTCCGTGACTTGGGAAACTTCAGACAACTTCGCTTTTTTTCGTCCTTCGTTGTGGCCTGCACACGGTTGCTGTTCTCATATTAGTGGAGCACCGCGACGGCAGTCCTGTGAGGGCCGCATATAAGGGGAGGAAAGACTGTAAACATGCCCTAAGCATATTTCATATTAGAACTTTTCAGAAATTTTCATATTGCACAACACATGCTAGTAACCGTATCCACACTGGCAGGCAACTTGTCGTATGCTAGCAGACCATCCTCGGGAACATGGCCCTGCATCGTTTCGCACACTAGCAAGCCATCCTATTCTCATTGAATGACTCACTTATTGTGATCAAAATTAAGTCGACACTTCTCATTTACTGTAAAGGACTTATTTTTCGCGGTGTCAATATTTCGCGATTTAGGTCGAAGCTCAAGCTTTGTAATAATTCGCAGGTTCTAATTTTTGCGACACAATGGGATCTCAATGTAGATTCTTATGTGCTTACATTCTACCAAAATTGTTTGCGGGACATATTTTTCGCAAATTGTAGGCGATTCACAAAAATTAGGCCTTCGTGGAAATTACGTCGTTTACAGTACAAGGAGCGCTGCAATTTGTAACCATTGTGCGGACACAAGTATGTATGAAAAATGTTGGCTTCCTTCGACTTACGGTAACAATGAGAAGCTCGTTAAAGACGAGGGAGATAAAGATTGTACAAACGGACATAGGGCGTCGCTCCTGAAAACAGTATGTGAACTCGCTCATCTGCTAGTGTACATAAGTGCATCCCCAGTATTTTCTGCGTGAGTGGTGCACAGTAGAAATTTCAGAAAAGGTTCATAAATAAACAAATATCACTAGCATATATCAGGATGCCTGCTTACCGTGCCACCATGCCCTCAAAACTGAAGTGACTGGATTTCGGAGTAAACCGGAGCAGCATGCTGTGGAACGACTCTAGGCGATAGGTCTGACCGTCTCCAGACACCCTTGGAATGTCCTTGAGTAGTTGCTTGGACATGACGATCTTTTCGAGAGCCACGTATGGCTCGGTCCCTGCGATAAGAGAAAGTACCGAAATAACCCTCTGGGTGTCTAGCAAGTTATTACAACTCTACAACGGTCCCTGCCCATTGTAGAGGTGGTTAAATATATCAGATCATTACAACACAAGGCATTGAGCATTCAGAACTGTTACAATACTTTCGCACGGGCTGAGCCCAACTTGCATATTCCGAAATATTTGGGTTCGTCCTCTCCGGATTAAATGAGCACTTTCTTGCCCCCTGACATAGTCAGTGAAGAAGCCACTTCCAGAAACACAATAAAAACATGACGCTGAACCACACATGTTAATAATTACGAATGGCAGCATGGCATAGCCGCCAGATGCACACTTTCGGATACTTTTGGCTTGGATTGTATTGGGGTCTGCAGATTTCCCATTTGTTAATAATAATAAATCTAGTAGCTCTAACTGGGTCTAGTCTAGTGTCGCGCCCTCAATCCAATCCAAGGCTTTTACTGGATTTGTCAGCGGTTCCCTTTGCATCGGGTATTACACTCTACATCAATTGAGCAGGGCCCGCGGGCTCCGCTCCAAGCAGAATTTATTACCTATTTTTCTGCCTACAGGTTTTCAAGTCTCTGCTCAGGGCACTCGATAGCGTTTCCGGCACATTTTCCCTGACTCGGCTCGCTCTTTGGCAATATCCCTGACAGTCCCCCGATTTTTCCTGGTAATTAAATTTCCCCTGACAATTCCCGGTTTTGCCGGTCTCTAGACACCCTGACCCTTGTAAGTGCTGAGTTTATATCGATAGTGACTGAGCAGGTAAGCCAGAGCGCAGCCGAGTATACTCCTGGTGGCACCCAAAAGGTTAAACAGCAAAGCCAGTGCCCATTGCAGCCTGTCCACAAATCACTTTTTTGTGTTGTATACGTGATGCAACTGCCATTTTATTTTTTATCCATCTCTGCAGAAGCTAGATCTGTGCTCAGTAATTCTGCCTAAATAATTTTCATATAATCTGCAATTTTCCTTTTTATGCGTCTTTTGCATGTTACAAGTCGGTCTTCACTTCCTCATTCTGTGTCTTTTCATGACCTCGAAAGTGGAGTGTTTTTCTTAAAATATAAGGCTAGAAACATGCAGTTTAAGCCTCTTGATGTAATTGAAATGTCCGCTCAGTACTATGAGCTGGATACGAGATGGAGTCCTCCCATCGGCTGGTCTAGAGGGGGGGGGGGGGGGGGTTGGGATATCCTGACCCTCCTTTTGAATTCCGCAAGTGTGAAATGCAGAGCGGGAAAGGGGGGGGAGGGAGCATACGAGTTATCCGAACCACAATCTGGTATGCTGACCCCCCATCTGGAAACACTTGCATTCATCTCCGATTCCTCCTTGTGCTATTTGATTGTAGACTGGCCAGAGCAGCCAAAGGAAGTCTGTCCTTATTATGAAAGCTTCGCCGACAACTGGAGTGAAAAGAATGTTATGAATGTTTAAAAAATGAATCTTTTTTACCTTCCTGAAGCCACCAGCGCTCTTCGATTGGGCCATGGGTGCACGCAGGGTACAGGGGGCTGGGGTGCTGATGGACGTTGCTCACGTGTCGCATTACGGACACCCATTTTGCGAGCACCAGCGCGCCATTGTCACTGCTGGTCTGTGCACACCAGTAGACGTGTCCACGTACAGTCTTCACCCACGCATTCAAGATGCTGTTCTTCTTTGTCTTGCCTGCAGAGGCCATCTTGCTCCCAATGCCTATAAATTAGAAAGCCTCCATGATTACTAGCTCAGCACCAGTCTAGTTTGGAAAACAAGTTTTGATATTAGATACACTAAAAATATGAAGCTATAGTAAAATTGCATCTAGATACTGGTGCAGCATGAACAACATCGTCAACTTTAGTATACCATATGACGTTTGAATAATGCCACGTGTATCTTGACAACAAAGCATGTTGCACTATAGTTCATTGAGCCAGCGATCATTAACTCAATCGTGATCGGGCGGTGTTACACTGCAGTGCCATCTACCATCAAGCCGCTAACGATCATTGAATTCAACTGAGCTCGCCTACCCCAGTTAACTAATGGGGGTTCACCCCAACAAAGCTAAAGATGGCAGCAATCACCACATCACCACTGATGGCCAGTGCTAGCGAAGCATTTACTATTGCAGAAGAGAGGTATCTAAAAATTATCATAGCAGCAAATATTATCAGAAGAGGTATGATACGAAGTCAGAGCTACCACTAAAACTATTGCGAAACGTCGAGGAAGTGCGGCCATTGTGATGTCGGTGGCAGTAAGACTTTCGTTGTCACTCTTGCTTTAAATTTCTGTGAAATATTCCAATTTTCGTTTTCTTTGTTCTCAAAATAAACTAAAATCTATCACTCTGAACGACTTATTTTTTGCAGGCTCAATATTTTACGATTTAGGTCAAAGCTGAATTTTTGGAATAATTTGTGGGTTTTCATTCTTGCGACATGGTGGGATCTCAATATGGGCGATTCGTGAAATTTAAGTTGTTTACAGTATATGTCAAGTTAAACTTTTCTTTTGTGTTTTGTTAAACATGTTACACGCAATTATTCTCAATACTTTTTTTTTCTGTCATGTGGGTCACGTGACGTGCATCAGAACTTGGGTCATTAGGCCCATGTACCGCGTAGCACCAGGCAACTTAGTTGAGCTCAGTGAGATGTCCATGATCCTTGACTCAATGATTGTTAAAACGGCCCATGTACAGGGGTATTGGAGTTATCAATACAATTACCTTTTGCGACACGCCATGCGTCGAACCGGTGCTTGGTGTCGGGGTACCTGCCTCTCATCAGGGCATTCACCCCAAAGTGCCGGTCGGTCACAAGAACATACACAGACAGCCCCATGCTCAGGCGGAAGTCCAGGGAACGTTTCAGGCCCTCCGTCTCCATGTGGTTGCTCGACTTGACTTCTGTCGACTAGGGTAGAAAAAGGTGCCGTAAAATGCATACCTGATCCATGTGATGCATTGAGGTCATCTTATATTTAGCTACTTCTTACCTGAAGAACCTCGTAGTGCATTATCTTGTTGATGCGGGTGTCAAGCAGTGTGTACGTCCCATACTTGGCAGAGTAGCCAGGCGAGTCAGCACGCCCATCGCCTGCAAGGTGGAGCTTGTCTTTCGTGGCTGTCAGGAGAGACTCCTGTTCAGCTTCCCAGGTCTTTGAAACGAGAAAACTCAGTGTCAGGCTCAATCAGTGAACATGTTTAGTGAACGAACAATCTTGTAGTCAGTTCTGCTCACCTTTGTAGCAGCAGGAAAGACCAAAGAGCTCTGCACCCGGAAGAACTGAGTCTTCTTCAAGACTTGCACGCCTATAGATCCCAGGAGGCGAAGAACCCGCTTTGGGCTGGCTCCAGAGTAGGTGATGGCAGCAGGCAGCAGGATGTTGAGGAGTGCCTTGCTGTTGATTCTGGGCTGGTTCTCCCACACAGTCTTGTGCCCTCGTGCACACGTGATGACGGCGTGCACAAGGGTCCCTCGATGTGTCAGCTTCGTCCGTGTCGGAGCCAGGCATTTGATGCATGCAGAAAACAGCAGCAGCAGCTGTGATGCAGTCACCAGGTACTTTCTCTCCTTTACCGGGTCCACTCCTGCTGAAGACGTGCTGCACCTCCTTCACTGTTAAAAAAAGAAAAAGAATAAACCAAAAGATTATAGTGTTGAAATTTCAAAAACAGTTCTTTTTTAACGCTTCTAATTTTTTTTTATTCTGCCATCATCTCTCACAGTTCTTTGCACAAAATCGGGATATCTAACAAGCTCCTCCTTTCATATTCAGTGACTTTGCCAGGTTCTCCCAGACTATTTCTATTAAATTTCCTGGCCGTTATTTCAACCTGGTCCGAATAACCAAGTGTGATCGTCGTGCTTTTTATAAGATGTAGTTCTAAGGCTCCTCCACTGCACCATAAACTGTATGTATGATAAGAAACACTCATGTAACCACCATACTAAAGTTTCATTTAGGAACTGGTAGTGTAATAAATTAATTAATTATTCATTTAATTAGGTAATGGCTTGCACTATCTAATGATGTTTCAGGGAACATTATTGGGTGCAGCTGTGCCGATGTGCGACTGTAAAGCTTCGTTATTACTGCCGCGCCACTTCCATTTGTCATTTCTCCTGATATAGCCAACCTTTTGACTGTTTCCCTTATATTTGTCTAACTTTTGCAGGTGAAGAAAAGCCCCAGATAATTACAAGTTTTCCAGATTGGTAGACCTAGTTTAATCCTATTCATAAAATGGAGTTCTGGTTTCTGAAAAATTACAGTGGACACATACTCGACATCTGTTGCACCGCCCGAGTGCACAGAGTCGTTGGACCAGATGCGGGTGTCGGAATCCGGTTCATCATCGGAGTTGAAAGAGTTATCCGGCCTGTAACTCTCGTCCAACAGATCTGGCTCAGGGCACATATCCTCATCGGAGTCCAGGAAGGCGGCCTCCGTGTAACTGGTGTCCGAAGGCGATGCCCCAGGTTCTGAGGGTTCAGGAGTGGCATCCCGCTCCAACGACAAGGGGCTTGGCGTCTTGTCCTCTGTAGGCGTAGAACACCACTGGCGCAATTCTTGCTCAACGTCTGCCGAGTTCTCTTGGGCTTGTTGGGGACTTCCGGGAACAGCTGGCTCGCTCCCCAAAGGGCTTTGGACAACCATGCCTGGAAAAGATTGAATGCCAGAGCAAACATTATTGTGTCAAAACTCTTTAACACGCACAGTAACAGTGTGCATGACATGACTTGTGATGCAGTGCAGTTTTTACAATTGATGAGCAAAAATATATATCCGTCATTCTCACCCTTCCAAGTTTATTTTGACGCAATAAAAGCATTAGGTCCCCACCTTTCTGCCATGCTACTGCAAATAGCCCAGGCTCAACGAAAAATGAGGGAAATGCATGAATGGCCACAGTCAAAGGTAGTGTTATGAACTGGTTGGAAACAGTTCATGCTTGGTAGCGGCAGTAACCAAACTAATATCTAGCGCGGCATGCTGGAACCGAGACCAGACCACAACAAAACACAAAATCGGCGGTTCAACACCATGGTTATGATATAACGGTGGTTCTGTGTTTTCAAATAAAGCCGATGAAGTCCGAAAACCATTTGCCTGTAAAACTTTTGTCAATTCGAATTCATCCGAAAAAAATAGGATTTTGAAGGTCACACCGACCGGGGAAAAGAAAAAAGCGCGCAATAAAGATCAGGTTGGATCAGTGCGAAGGGTCGTCGGTCCTGAGAAAGACGGTGGGTGTCTGTTTTTTGCAGAGAACAAGGCAATGTATTTCTAGGTCACGGCAGAAATAAGGCTGTACGTCTAACGGTGCTAGCGGTTGTTCCAGTCTCAAGTTCAGACCATAGTCACCATGGACAGCATAGTTCCATCAGTGGGTGCGGGTAAAGTGACTTGAATGGGGGTGCGTGAAGCTGAAGTTGCTATACTACTATGTTGTTCAACCTGCGCTTTCACGGCACATTTCTGTGGCACCTGCAACAGCGAGGCGACATTTACTTTCATGCATATACAAACATGTGCACTTGTATTTATTACAGCAAGCTTGTAGTAAATACAAGCACACTTGCTTGTTTTGAAATGCATAGATGAGCTCATTGTAAATATTTCACACTATTAAACTTTGTTTTGATAGAAGAATGAAGTCCAAATAACACTTTCCAAATTTGGCAAAAATAAACTCGGGGAAACACGGACATAATGCATCTATGTTATGTATACTATTTAAACTCTCGTCACATTTGTATTACATAGATAGCACTATATTCTTAAGCCACCACAGCTACTCACCGGAAGATGTTGGCAGTGCCGGATTTTCAGTCGAGGTCTGACAAAGCTCCTCGAAGGCTTGCACAGCTTTGTCCACAGACAGTGTCGGTGTACCTGGCACACCAAAAAACATTACATTCAGATATAGACTCGAATAACATTGCACAAAGAGAGAGAGAGAGAGACTGATAAAGCTATTCTGTCATTACACAATAAGGTGAACCAAGTCACTACATACTTGTCGTTACCACACACATACAGATGTGGCAGATGGGCGGCTCCAAGTGCGGTCCAAAATGGCCATCAATTGCAGTAGTTGCTGGCACGGTGTCGCATAAAGCGGCGGTGCTGCTGTTGCGCCCTGGCCCAGAAGCGGAAGCCTGGTCCCCGCTCTGTAAAAGCAGTGCGATAGTTACTACAACCGGTATACACCAACTCATGTTTACAAACAAACCGGAGCGCCCGCAGCGCCCCTAGCGGACGCCACCGGCGCCGCGTATGCGCGATGGGGGTGTGGGCAAGAAGCTCACCGTCGCCCATAAACAAACCATTGAAATGCGATGTTGTCGTCGTCGTTGTAAGTTCCCGGGCTCTTTTTCGCGTTGGAATTGTTGATTCTACGTCCTCCTAACGATGTCTGACTACAGAGCGGCGTCAGTGAAATTAACGAGGCTCATTACACCGCAAAACTTCGCGTGAATAATCTGACATGCGGCGATTCATTCCGCGTGGACGCCGCAGAATGTACGCTAGAGCCTGATTCACATGATGAGATTTCGCTCGCAATTTTCAATAGCGACGTCGCTCGCACTGCAAAAGCGTGAACCGTAGCTGAGATGGTCGACGTCAATACTGAAAATCGCAAGCAGAATCTAACCAAGTGAATCAGGCCTAACAAGTCGGTGATGGCCACTGATAACAATGATCAACATCTCCTTGTATCTACTTTTTACATCGAGCCTGCTTACCAACCTTCAAACTTAAGTCTTTTGAGGCCTGCACTTACTTCTTATCGCAAGTGCCGGGCCCACGTTTGGTCTACGGGCCGGTGTACTCTAAAAGGGCAGACGACAAACAGAAACGTTTGAAAGAGCAGACGACAGTTCGAACGATCAGGCGACCGTTTAAACTTGAAGACGCACTGAACGCAGTTCGCAGGTGGTCCGTACAACGTGACGGTTTTCCGGCATTCATTTTTAACAAAACAAATAAATCTGATGGCCAGAAGTATCCGTGAATTCAACCCAAAATGCTTCCCGCCCAAGCAATCGTGGTCCGAGGGCGTCTGGTTTTCCCTTTTCACGGCACATATCCACGTTCTCGGACGAACCGAGCGCATGAAAACTGACCTTCAAACCTTTCTCGACCCTTTTGGTACAGCCCCAATCGCAGCATTTTGACAAGAAGCCAGGTTTTTGTCTGGTTCCTTTGAAAACAACGCAGGAATACACGTCTCAGATGGGCACTTCCGCCCACAGCCCCGGACTGGAAGTGCGTCCGACGCGCCACAACCGCGCCGTGACGTAACAGAAATGAGTTTGTGTATACACGAACTCAACTCTGTGACGTCACGGCGCGGTGGTGGCGCGTCAGGCAAACGTCCGGTCTGGGGCCGTGGGCAGAAGTCCCCATGCCAGACGTGCATTCCTGCATTATTTTGAAAGGAACTAGACACAAACATGCCTTCTCGTCAAAACGCCGTGACTGGGACCGTACCAAAAGTGTTGAGAAAGGTTTGAAGGTCAGTTTTCACGTGCTCGGTTCGCCCGAGAATCTAGATATGTGCTGTGAAAAGGGAAAAGCAGACGCCGTCGGACAACGATTGCTTGGGCGGTAGGCACTTTGGGTTGAATTTGCGGATGCTTGTGGTCATCAGATTTATTTGCTTTGTTCCAACATGAACGCCAGAAAACCGTCAAGTTGTGCGGACCATGTTCAGTGCGTCTTCAAGTTCAAACGGCTGCCTGATCGTTCGAACTGTCGTCTGCTCTTTCAAACGTCTCAAGCGTCGGTGTGAGTTCCCCTGCCCTTTTTCGCGTTCGAATTGTTGCCCTGGCAATCTCCAACTACTTGAGCGGAATCAGCGAAATTAGCGAGGCTCGTTACACCGCAAAACTTCGCGTAGTGGTGGTCCGCACAACTTGACGGTTCTCTGGCGTTATGTTGGAACAAAACAAATAAAGCTGATGACTACAAGTATCCGTGATTTCAACCCAAAGCGCTTCCCGTTCAAGCAATCATGGTCCGACGGCGTGTGGTTTTCCCTTTTCACGACACATATCCGTGTTCTCGGACGAACCGAGCACGTGAAAACTGACCTTCAAACCCCTCTCGACTTTTTTGGTACATCCTCAGTTGCGGCATTTTGACTAGAAGGCAGGCTTTGTCTGCCCTATTGAAAATTCCATCAAGGGACGTAATTTGGGACACTGACTGCCAGTCAGCAGCCTCGGTGGAACGTGATGGACCATCACACGTCATCTGATGGTTCATCAGAGGACGTCTGACTGCCACTGCCAAGGGAATTTCATCAACAAGGGCAGCATTTATATATGAGTAAAGCTATACGCACTCATAAATATCGCCAAATGCCTCAATAAAACAAAATCTTCACAAAAAAAAAAAAAAAAAAAAAAAAAGCTGGTCCACCGCGCATCGAACCCGCGACCACTTGCATACAAATCGGGCATCTCAACCACTATGCTATGCCTCCGCTTCGAAAGGTCGATTTGACTATTCGATTTATACGAGATGCTTCGGCTACAAATACAGTTAAGTCGTCAGCGTGTTATGCAAAGCACTCGTACATCACTCGCCGTACTTCAGTTCTACTCAACTGCCATGTAGAGTACTTTCGCGTCGTAGAGCGATCCTTTTGTTCGCGCGTCACCGGCCCAGTGGACCTGTACACCTTGTCGTCTTCAACTACACCGCTGAAGTCCCTTACATCGTCGGAACTCACAACAGGCTGGGTCTTGTCGAGTAGAAATTCTACTAAAACGTAAGACATTGTAGAGCCCGGGCAGGATCGACAGGTTAAAGCAAGCGGGCAAACAAAACGAGTCGAGAGCGATCGTTCATGAAAGCTCGACGACGTCTCTATGGGCGAAGCGAAGTCGGCGAAGTGTCGTGTTCGGCGCTTCGGCGGGCTTCTGACCAAGGTTGTCGGTCCGCTGCGTGTCATATCTCTAACGTCAGCGGTTTTATGGGCTCACGTCCCGAAATCGTTTTTTCGTGCATGGATTACTTTTCGTATTCATAGATTTGACGAAATAGTGGTGTCCGAACGAACTTTACGTCCTTTGACCGTACGTCTGTCTGCACGCCAAAGCTTGTTGACGTACAGTCAGAGACAATCGATGTACAGTCAGAATCGCCACCAAGACATCCTGATGGCATTTCGCGGCGGCCGACTGCCACCAGGAAACCATCAGAACGCCGACAAGCGGAGTCTGACTGGAGTTTGACTGTAGGTCAGAGTAACTTGTTGGCCAATCAGAGATGCTTGACGTACAGTCAGGCACAGTCAGCGGTCCACTAGAAAACATTGACTGCCAAACAGCGTTACATTGATGGATTTTTCTTTCGGGTGGTTCCTTTCAATGCAGGAATGCACGTCTCGCATGGGGTCTTCCGCCCACAGCCCATACCGGAAGTGTGCCCGACGCGCCACCACCAAGCCGTGACATAACAGAGTTGCGTTTGTGTACATCAATCAATCAATCAATCGATCAATCCTTTATTTCACATCAGAAACTGATGTAGGCTGCAGGGGCAAAAAGTCAAAAGTTTGACTTGACAAGGCCTCTGCAGCCTTACAATTGGCACACGGCGACGTACTACACATGAAGTAATAACATTAAGTTTTCAGCTTT